AGTCCACTGACCGCACTGAAAAAGAAGAAGGTGGATCAATCACTTGTGAATTAACCTTGATAGGAGACTGATGAATATCCACATATCTCGGCTTGTTTCGAAGAGGTTTCAGTTCCGTACTGAAATTAGGGCAATGCATGATCTCATCAAAATTATGTGAAGGAGGAATAGTTCCAAGTACTGAAGCAGCATTGCCACGTTGAATAGCAATACTAATTATTTCTATCAAAAAAGAGGTAGAACGTGCTGATTAATTGAATAATTAATAAATAAATAAATAAATTAATTGAATACCTCAGCGACATTCGTACATTTATTGTTTCCTGCTCTTAATAAGTTGTCATGGACAGGTTCACTAGAACCTAAATGACTGCTGTGTTTTGTTTGCAATACTATAAATTATGAAAAGTTGCTTGTATTTTGGAACTGCAAGTAAATTATTATTATTATTATTATGTTATAGTTATCACTTCTTATGTTGTTTGTATGTCATTCGAAGGTCATTTGAAACTACCACACGCTTTCAAATTATCATTATATTACAAAAAAAGATAAAACTGATAATGTCGTAAATATTTTTAATTGTACATTCATTTGAATACCGGGTGTAGATGTATGTCAGGCATAATTTCAATATGCTTTTTGTATATGAAACAAAAACATAAAAATAACAATTTAAAAAAAATGTTGATTGAAAAAAAAGTGAATAGTTCTAATTTCTTTACTGAACATTTTCTTTGTAACTTTCAATGAAAATGATAACCCACTAATAAAGAAATTTAAAACTATAGGTATACTTGTAAAAACTATCCAGCCCACGGAGATACATGTTGAAACACAAACTCAATTATATTATGGTAACTAACGTGAAAGTATGAATTCACAATTAAGAATTTTATTCAACGTGATTAAGCATCCTTACCGCCCTAGTTAGTGTTTATAAATAATCTGTGAATACTGAATATTGAAATTTTAATGTAATTTCAACTCTAGTAATTTTATTANCGATCCTTGTGGCACTCCTGCTTTCACATTCTTTGTACTTGAACAACCATTGGTTTTAACAAACTGTCTACGTCCTGTAAGGTAGGATTCAAACCATTTCAGGCAGTTTCCAGCAATTCCATAATGATGTCTTCCATTACAAATGCAATAGGATTCCAAACTTTCAAGTTAGAAGAAGAATCAAAAAATGGATCAAAGTACAAATTGAAGTTATCGTTGATATCATACATATACGTTAGAGACAATGAAGCCAAGATATTTAAGAAAAATAATAAGAAGTATGACAGAACAAAAAGTGTATCGAATACGAAATCAGTGCATCGAGTTCGTTGGTAACTATTATTTAGAATGCGAGCCCCTGAAATTTCCATACCGTATTCGTTAATATACAACAAATTCACCATGGAGAAAATATAAGATTTGTATAACTAGTATCGGTTATTTGAGGTTGCGATCCAAAGAATGAGTATATGACATTCCCTGTATTACTATTACTTATAATTATGATATAGTTGTCAAAAACTTGCAACGATAAGGTTGCCAGTTAAAAATATTTCTCTATATTTCGATCATTACTGATCCGCTACAGTGTATTACAAACACTTCGAAGTTTGTTGATGTGGAAAAATGAATTGTATGAGACAGATAAGATTTTTGAGAATCCACATTAATGGTGTAAGACAAATTGAAAAAAGCTGTAGAATAATCGGATATGAAAATTATGCCTGTTATTCGACTATGAAGTATTTTGAGACTAAAGCAATGAAAACTGGAAAGTCAAAATTCTCTATGGAAAACATTCCGAGGTAAGTGATGAGAAACACTTGAATAACTATTGAAAAAGCAATGAAGAGCATTTCCTTTTTCATTTGAAATAAATTGTTTGTTTGTTTGTTTATTTGTTTGGATCAAATTTAGTAATTGAAGTTTGCCCACCATCTTGTTGACAGATTGATCTGATATTTGGTATACAAGATGGCCGCAGCTACAAAATGGCGGATTACATATTGTTTCACAAATACCTCAATATGAATATCAAATAATAGGGCTTGACTAGTGGAAAAATATGCAAATCCAAGATGGCTGATGACAGAAGGGAGAGAACTTTTTATTTTAAATTATGTAGTCCAAAATGAAGGTGCCCTTAGGGCAAATATTTGTAAATAATTTTTTTGTTATGTATGAATGAATGGTTATTTCAATAAATTAATTTTATTTCATTCGAGCAGACTCCCTTGAGTTATCACAAAGTAATCAACCAGATGAACTATTCCTTTCATTTCATTTCATTTCCGATAATATTCATGTTCATCTTTTCTTGATGGAGCATATTTTCGTCAAGCTTTTGAATTTCTCTACTCAATAGTCATTTCAAAAACCAAATTTGTGAGCATTATTCACCGTATTTCATTTTTTCAGAGCATCATCGTCGTCAATAGTCAATCCCTTTTCAGCATCAGAGAATGAGGAATTTATGAAATATTTTCCTGAAATAGTAGAAGTTTTAACCAAAGTACCGCCTTGTGAAAATCAAGAGCTGGTTAAACAACTCACAACAACTGCGACATACAATTTGGATCTTGGTACAAAAGCAAGAGGTATAGCCACAGTAGTTGCTTATAAAGCGTTGAAAAAACATGATCTTACCCCTGAAAATATCAAGTTGGCTGTGATATTGGGGTGGTGTGTAAGAATGGTAAGATTGATGTAATGTAGATTTTCTGTGCGAATATTTACTATTTGAAGATAATACTGTAATAAGTTTCAAAGAGACTTATCAGATTCTGATGTGTTATTTTTGTGATAATAATAAAAAAGGTCATTTATTGGTGAATACCAAAGGGTCATTGACCGAAGTTCTTCAGTCATTTATAATAGTGCATTTCAATAATAACTACGCTCTTTTATATCACTGAAATAAATGAGTCATTATGCTTGTCTACTCCAGTGATCACTAAAAAAATTGATTGCTTAATAACATTAGATATAATTATTAGGCAGTCCATCTTCTATATTGACTTATACAACAATTCCAATAATTTAATGAATAATAAAATCATCAGCTTGTTTCCGCAAAACTTTTCATTGTTTTCATAAAATTATTATTGCATTATAGTACTGTTGAGTATATTGTTCAAGATAATACTGTGGCAAAATTTATTTCCAACAATAATTCAATAATCACAAACTCATTTATTCATTACAACACTTAGCAGCTAACGCTTAATTTATTTCCACTATTCGAATTTCTTGTTTAGCCGCTCGATTCACTCTCTAAACTGCCCTTGTGGGTCGGGAAGATGGGCTTATATCGGTGAAGGTCCATTCGAAAATTGTGTAGACGGTTCGGTACTCATCTAGAATTTTACCGGCGGTTCTAGACTGCATTCTTTCTAGGTGAGGTCATGCGTTTGTTCGATGAGTCGGTTGGCGTATCAATTCAACCGGTCAGGGGCGGCTTCAGATTACAATACTCAGTGGATAATACAGTTAGTAAAACCTTGATATTTGACCGAACTTTTTGGTATTGGCTCTCCTGGGCTCTTCTATTGGGACGATTGGACTATGACTTCGATGTCATAACCATATATCCATGATTCGTCACCAGTAATGACCCCTTTCAGCAAGTCTGGATCGCCGTTGACATTATTCAACAATTACTGAGCGATGATCATGCGACGGTTCTGACTCAGAGTACATTCATCGTACACCACTGTCAACATTTCGAATGTTTTTGAGCACTCAACTCTCTCTTTTACAAGAAATTTGATGCAAATTCTCTGATCCATTTTTTTCGATAGCAGATAATCGCCAAACACGCAAAACAAAGTTTATGCCTCTCACCAACTACTCTCACTATTAAACAGCTGAAACTGTGAAAATATGTTTGAGACGAATGCACCAACATGAAAAAAATATAAAAAATTGCTAATCGAATGCACGTAGCTCGAGAAATTTGATTCACCTTATTTTTTGAACAGTCCAAGTATACAGTTATATGAAAGAAAATGTGCAATATCAACCTCAACGTATGGGTTTATTCAATAGATGTGGAGTCGGTATTTCGTTTAGTTGAATTTAAAAAAATGAGAAAGGGGTCGACTATTAGGTAATTAGGAAAAATGAAACCTATGATAATAAGGGAAATAGTATACAGGGTGTAACATAAGTACGTTAAAATATTCAAGTGATGTATTCATGAGATAATTTCAAGAAAAAAGTCTATATGAACTTGTGTCCGAAAATGATTCGTTTCGGAGATATGGGGTGTTGAAATTGAATTTTTTTATTCGCTTTTTGAAAATAACTCTTGCAAAAAATAAGTTATCTGCACGAAATTCGATACCCGTGGTTTTTTTTGACGTGGGATATCATAATTTCGTAT